CTTGTATGTGTGTTACACCATGGCATTCAGGGCTACTTCATTGATTCTATTGCCATCAGACTGATGCAGACCATAAATTCTCTTTCTTTTTCTTCTGGGAGTAGATCTTAAAGCTAGATTTTTTTGGAGGCAAATTCCCTCTGCTTTCCTTTCCTTTTGTTGCAAAGTCAGATAAAACCTGGAGAATCTGATCACAGAGAGGTTAGTCCTATTTGAGTAAATAACCAGAGGGTGAAAACGTTTGTGTGTTGCTCTTGAACCTCTGTAGAGAAATGGCTGAAAACAGCCGAATCTAGTGAAGGACAGTTTCCATTTTAGCTTTAAATCATGCATTTGATTTTTAGCAGTTTCCTTGGCTTCCCCAGGGTGTTTGAAGTGTGGGTCTAAGGTGGTGTGAGTGTTTTACAGGGTGTAGTCCTGGAATTAGTGCAGGCGACAAGCAGAGAAGGTTTAGAAGCCTTATGTGATGTCGCTGCTTGCTCATAAAGGCTGGTGCCATTTAAGCACCTTGTGGACTTGTTGTGCCTGGAGTCCACCTGCTCAGAGCAACGTGCAGAATCTGTAGGTGAGGTTACATATAGGGCTTTGCTTCCAAACTGTCTTTGGATGGAAACTCCAAATTCTTTTTCCTGTTGCTAGTGTCTGAGAAATGCCTCTTTATTTTCAGGATTTGTTAACTGTGGTGGATCATGAAGAGCTGGAGTACGTTAAAATGGTACCAGATACTTCTGAGGTCTAACTCTTTCTTTTGCCCATCCCTGTTTCAGCCCCCTGCAGAGCGATCACGCTGGTGTTTCTCTGTTGCTGTGTTTCTGTAAAGATTGTGCTTGGTGCCCATTTACATGAGAACAAGTAATTCTTCACCTTGCCTAAACAAAACACAAGAATTCTTAATATTCCAAGTTATTTTAAATAGCGAAGCAGAGAACATTGCCTTCCCACCCAAGGTTTGCTTCTTAACTGGTATCATATGTCAGTGCTCTCAGTCCTCAAATCTTTCCTAATTGAAAATTACGCAGTTACTAGACTCCATTTTTCCTTTAAAAGGAACTAGAAACAAAACACAAAATTTAAAGCTTTTCTCTTTAAAGCCTATATAACCATAATATTTTACAGCATTACAAGTAATTACAAATGTTATTTGTTGTGCAGCATCATTAAAAATACAAATTAGCGGACACTAATGAGAGATGCAAAGGTGTAATCAGCCTAATGCCAGTCGAGCATCAGTTATTTTATTTCTGTTCATAAAACCTTCAACCAGCTCTTGTGCTGTGCCAGAACTGAGTAGTTTTACAGCATTTTCCCTCCTTAAAGACCCCCAAAATCTGCTGCTTTCCAGTTTTTCATCATGCAGTCATTGATGGCATCAGTTTATACCCAGCCTATTTCCATGACTTATTTTCCCCTTCTTCTGTATGAAGAAAAGGGGATAGTGGGGAAGCAAGGTGTGCAAGGCCAATGAAGCAGGGAGATACAAGGCTGTATTTATGGGGAGAGGGTCCTGGACCTCTAGAGTCTTTGTTTGTTGTTGTTTTTTCCTTTCTCTCTGCCTTACAGCTGTGTTCTTTGAAAGTTACGATTTTATTTTTTTGGGTGTCAATGAACTAATAAGGTTATTTACCAGAACTCATTTTTAAAAGCTATTTTCTTAAGATGCAGGTTCAGTTTTTTTGGTTTGTTTAATCATTGTCAATGGTGTCAAGACCAGAAAAGGTGGGGGAAAGCACACGCTTCTCAGTGACCTAACCCTCTTTGAGCCTGGCAGAGTCTTTTGCCTCTTTGGGTCTAAACACTGTGTAGCCCTTGATATAAGGTGAGAGCTGTTATTTTCTTCAAGTTTAACTTGTGGTTACATGACTCTTCCTTTATTACAGCTAGTTGTTTGAGCACCAGATTTGGAATGTTTCCTAAAAACTTTTTCAAACTTCACAGGTTCATCTTCCCAAATGTCTGAAATAAGCCCAGCTTTGCTTTATTTGTGCTGGATTTAACATGTTGGGAGGTCTACCTTGCTTAATACCATTTTTCTAGCTCCTGGTAGTTCTGGACTAAGCAGTAAGTGCTTCACACCACCTCAACCCACAGAGAAGCTGCATTGTTTTTACATAAGCCCAACAGCTAGTCAGATTTTCTTTTACAGATCTTGTTTAAAACAAGTCAGGCAAGGCTGAGGGCTAGATGTACACTATTCTTAGCCCAGATTCATTTTAGGGTAGATGAGGGAAAAAAAATGAACTCTTTCCTTTTTTTTTGAGAGAGTAGTTCAAATGATGTTTGAATCTTCCAGGCATTGGGACGGAAGAAGTCCTGGCTCTAAGAGGATGGTGAATATAGGAGTCAAGGGCAAGAACGGGCTGCGGTGTCATCTTGAACTTCAGTTACATAGTGCCTGGGTTGAGCGCAGCTGGGAGCTGGCCTTTCGCTGCCCTTTAGCGTGCTAAGCCCGGGACAAAGTTCCCCCTTTCGAGTATTTGTGTGACAGAAATCAATAAAAGAGCTAGCAGTGCGGGTTACACAACCAGGGCTTCTGCGCCGCGCTGGCGGTAACAGCTCGCTCCCCCGGGATCTCGCCGGACACCTCGTGGTTGCTGTACGTGGAAGGGTTGGTTTAAAAATACACAAATCCCAGGAAGGGTTGTTTATTTTTTTGAGGGAAGCGCTGTTGTGTGCGGCTAAGCTGCCAACTTGACGCTGAGCCATGTGCTGTTCTCTCCAAGCGCCTTGTGTGCGCAAAGTTGTGCTCCGTGGATGAGGCAGTGAAAGTCCGTGCGACTCGGAATAGCAGCCTTCAGGAAATGGCCTGAGATTGTGGAAACGATGAAATGGGAATAGCGTCATGCTAGTGCCCTGCAGGGCAGCCGCTGCTTTCCCTGGTAGCCCGACCTCTTTTTAGGCTTGCCCTTGCCCTGGGCTCTGGGAGCTGCTGCCCTTCTTGCCTCTCTGGATGGTGCTGAGACGTGCCAAATAACTGCACCTCATGGGAGGCCTCTGCCCTATTCCGTGCAAATTCCGTTCCTGGCTTGTAACAGGCTGTAAAGAGAGTCAGTTGTGAGGGTCAGCAGTATTTAGAGCTGGCATCCCCCGGTGTGGATTAAAGCACTGCCGGCCACAATGCCGGCGCGTCCCGTTTTCACGGGACGCGCTCTTGGCTCCCGTTCCCGGTGGCTGCAGGGGAGCTGTGGAGCTTTCCAGCTATTGTTCTCCCTGCTTTTCCAAGGCAGTTTTTTATTCCGTCCGCGTCTGCGCTCTGTTCCCATCAGCTGCCGTGGGTCCAGCACGCGGAGATGGTGCTGCCCCCCACGCTTTGGTTTAACGTGGAGCTGTTGGAGAAGAACCTGGCCTGAGTATGAAACTTTTGCTGGGTAGCACGAACAGCCCAAGTTGCTGTAACTCTTGATGTTCACACGAAACCAAGCTCATTTTGCTGCTGCATCCAGTGCCAGCTCTAGCTTATTGATCTGAACTTTGAGAGGCCTTTGGATGCTGCTTTGACCCGATCGGGTGTTGCTGACACGCGCTTGTGCCGCTGCCACCAACAGCCCTGCGTTGGTGGGTGTGATTCCCTCGCTGATGGGGCGGTCGCTGGCTCGGTAGCAAGGTGCACTCCACTCCAAAAGCTTTCAGGTTACGATTCTGTAGGAAAAAACGGACTTGCAAACTGCCTTAAAATAGGGAAACATAAGTCAGAGAAGAGAGTGCTTTTCTAATTGAGCATGAAACCAAATACATACCCCCAGCAAGTCGTGTTTTAGGGTGTATAGCATTTAACAGACCAATGCACAGATTGGAACAACTGATTTTTGTTCCTAAAATACAGTTCAGATAAATTCCGAGGGCATTGGGTCTGTGTCCGTGCATTTTTTAAATGCCCTGTGCCACTTTCTTGCAGTATTTGCACTGCAGGCACTTACAACATGAAGTCTGTGTTTAAAAAAAAAAAAAAAAAGCTTCTTTCATATTTTCCTGGGGTGTTCATTTTTTTGGCAGGATAGATATGAAAAGCAAGAAGCAGGTGGTAGGAGCATTGCAGGATTAATAGAGTATAGCTTCAGTTATGCTACTTTTCACAGAACTAACTTATTTAGCAAAGAACATCTGCTTCTTGGCCTTGTGTTCGGACTGCTTTTGTTGGGTTCTTTAAAAGTTTTGAACGTGCTGGACAAGCTTGTGCATTGCCATTTCAAGATCAGATGGATCTTGTGGTATTCCCTGGTTATTCTAAACTATTCTAAGCAGCAGTTTGAACACCGAAAAATGCGCAAGCAGGATATAGCAAGCAGATTAATATTATGTGGACTTGAGTTTGTGTAGATCAATGAGGGTAATAATGTAACACGCAAACAAGAGGCTCTTGTGACCTTCTAGCTGCATGTGGTTTTGCATCACCCTCCTTAGTCTCTAGAAAGAAGCTAGGAATGTGAAGACTTCAATAAATCTTGCCTCAGAAAAATGAGGCTTTTGCAATTATTGTTTGGAATGAAGCCTCCTAATCTTAAATGTGGAAGACACTATGTAGATTAATGCAATAAAAATAAGAAGGACTTCATATTATTGTAAAATAGATGTCTGTATTGATAGGCAATGAGAGAAAAAGGAAATACGTTATATTAGAGGTGTTTAAATTTTCCCTTGGAGATCATTAGGAGAAGGCCAGCCTGTTATGGAGAAAACTCCTATCTTAGCTTCTGAAATTTAGGGAAATTCCTAAGAATGTCTTGGCACTTACGCCTGCATGAACATGAGCTAAGTACAAGAGAAACACTGTCCTAGGCCAATGCTCACTTATTATCTTATCACTATTGTAATACTATTTTAAATAAAACATGGCAAGGAAAAATATTTATTTTGCTACTGTGGTCAAGCTCGTTTTTTTTTAAACTTGGTAATGGAAAGTCCCTGAAAGTCTCTCTCTCCTGATCCTTTCTGTTCTATTTTCTGTTAACTTATCTTAGGATGAGTAATATCAAGGATGAGGTCTACAGTATTTTTGGGAAGCAAGTATCTGACGAGTAAGTGGAGTTCAGGAATGAGCTCTTTCCTCTTACAAAATTTTGCAAAGAAAGCGTGTGAGCTAATGTGTCTTTTTCCATTTATGACACATTTATGACATTTTTAATATGTCTTTATATTCAGGGTCGTCCAGTAGCCGTCATCCAAACCAGGTGACTCCAAAGAAGAGCGGCCTGAAAAACGGGCAGATGAAGAGCAAAGATGACGAGTGCTTCGGGGATGACATAGATGAAATCCCAGACACAGATTTTGATTTTGAGGGGAACCTGGCCCTCTTTGACAAGGCGGCTGTGTTTGAAGAGATTGAAACTTATGAGAGGAGGAGTGGCACTCGTTCCCGTGGGACCCCAAACGAAAAGCCGGCACGGTATCGGCACGATGAGAACATCCTGGAATCGGAGCCCATAGACTACAGAAGGATAGTGGTACCCCACAACGCGAACAAGGAGTTCTGCACGGGTATGCCACATTCCTTTCTCGCGGGGATACCGTGTCCACAGCGTTTCTGGGTTTTTCTGGGCACTGGGTGTTGGGTGGATTTCCCCAAAGGAGGGCATGATGTGCAAGGTCCTGCACCTGGGGAGGAATAACCCCAGACACCAGTACAGGCTGGGGACTGACCTTCTGGAGAGCAGCTCTGCAGTGAGGGACCTGGGCGTTGTGGTGGACGACAAGTTGACCAGTGTGCCCTTGTGGCCAAGAAGGCCAATGGGATCCTGGGGTGCATTAAGAAGAGTGTCTCCAGCAGATCGAGGGAGGGGATCCTGCCCCTCTGCTCAGCCCTGGTGCGCGCACAGCGAGAGTATTGTGTCCAGGTCTTGGCTCCACAGGACAAGAGGGATATGGAGCTGCTGGAGAGGGTCCAGCGCAGGGCTACAAGGATGATCAGGGGCCTGGAACATCTGCCCTCTGAGGAGAGGCTGAGGGAGCTGGGCCTGTTCATCCTGGAGAAAGCTGAGAGGGAACCTGAGAAGTGTCTAGAAGTACCTCAAGGGAGGCAGTGAGGAGGATGGGCCGGCCTCTTTTCACTGGCAGCCACCGACAGAGCTAGAGGAAATGTCTGGAAACTGAAGCATCAAAAGTTCCACAGGAAAGGAAAAATTTCTTACCAGGGAGGTTGCCAGAGCACTGGAACAGGCTGCCCAGAGAGGTTGTGGAGTCTCCTTCTCTGGAGATCTTCAAACCCCGCTTGGACGCAGTCCTGTGCCATGTGCTCTAGGTGACCCTGCATGTGCAATATTTTGGACTAGATGAGCTCTAGAGGTCTCTTCCAACCTTAAGCATTCTGTGATTCTGTGTGTGTCCCACCTTAATGCGGTGCCAGCAAGGCCATTCGTTTATATGCAGTTGTATCTGTGAATACTCTGTGCAGTATTTTGAAGATTAAAAATACCTACATGGGGCAACAAGGTAAGTTTTTCCTTGCAGTAGGAAGCAAAACTGTAATTTAGATTAAAAGAACAGAAATGGAACAGGAGCCATTTGATTCTTTGATTTCAGTAGCACGAGGAGCCCATGTGGCCTCAGTCTCTGGCTGTTCAGGATCCTAGTCCATCCTAGCAGGCCATGTTGTAATTTGTGCTCTTTTGGTAAGAGGTAGGAGATCCAAGAGCTTCTAATGTCTGATTCTGCTTTGGTAGTTGCCTTTTTTAAAGAATTTTAAATGTCTTTAGTGTAAAACAAACCCCATAACTCTTCCCACCTGTGTTCTGAATATCTGTGCATGCGTGTGTCTGTTTCCTCCTACTGCTCTTCCCAGTTTGGTCTCCTCTGTAGCTGTGTGAAAGATCCCAGAGCCCAGAGAGCAGAATGAACAAGATATTAACTTGTGCATAAAGAGTGTATTTTGTGAGCAGGTTGGATCTGCATCTCCTTTACTTTACATTAATAAACTTACATTCCAGAAATAGTTATTGTCCCTATGAGAATAAAGTCAAATTTTGGATCTTTTGTAGAAAAGATGGAGAGGCACCAAAGTGACTAATATTCTGTGCCCTGTCCACTCGTTAAAGATGTGATCGAGTCCTTGTTCAGTCATTCTTTCTCTCCCCAGAAATTCATCCAGGGTGTGAAACATTCCATCGAAGGCAGTTTATTTATTTGCAGCGATTTGCTGCTTTTCAATTTAAAAAAGATGGCAAATTTGTAATGGTTTCACTATGGAGTGATTGGTTTAATCTTACGCTTTTGCTATCCATCTTCCTATTAGTTCTTTTGAATAAGCTAAAATCATCCTAGGCCACTGCCTAGAGCTCAGGTCTGTGTTCCCAGTCATTATCAGGGAAAGTAAAAGGAGGAGTAAACATGGAGTAAGTAAGCGATGGTCTCTGTCTTCCTGTTTGTTTTGTACCTTTTTTTTTTTTTTTTTAATTTGCTACTTGTCGATTCATCTTCCAGCTGACTTGTTTGAGAGGAGACAGAGCGTCCCTGGGTGTCCAATCTGAAGCAAATGCTAACCTCCCAAAAGCTTGGAATTTGAGAAGCGTGGCTAATACAATAGTCTAGGGAGTGCAGTTTTGGGGAGGAAAACTCTGCCGTGCAATAACTAGCAAGCATTAGTAAGTAAATTCAAGGGGTGAAGACGAAATCATGTTTGCTTGTCTTTCATTCTGGAAAATTGTGGCTCCTTGTTGAGCATTGCCTTGGTAAGCGTGCAGATGCTCCTTCTCTGTAGCCTCACATGTTCTTGCTTGGTGATTATTCTCCCATATGGAATTCCGGATTTGTTTGCAAGAGGAGCCGTCGAGCCCCACAACAGGCAGGGTGCTGACAGCTACAATGTTCCTGGTCCTGGAAACGATAACACAAGTGTCCCGCTGCCGTGTGTATCGGGAAGCGTTTCCCGCAGAGGATGACTTCCTTTGTGTCCCTCGAGGAAGTTTACTTTTGCTTTGGAAATGCCAATGACCATCCAGCAAAAGCTCTTGTAAACACTGCGAGTCGGACGGCTGTTCCTGGTTCTTGGTTCAGCTCTTTGCCCCAATCAGCACCGGGGAGCAGAGATTTGTATCCAGCACTTTAGGCCTGCACGGATCAGCTGAAATCCTCTATTTTGGGTATCTCCGATAGGATTTCACCTTCTCCTTCTGAATTCTGTCTGGGGAGTTGTATCCAGGCTCCCTTCTCCTGTGTAGAAAAAGCACTTTCCAGTTCTGAAGACATAAGTACTTCACAACTCCTCCCTAGGTCTGTCTGTGAACATGACTGTCTTAAGAGCTCTGACTAATAGAGTAATTATCCTGTCTGCTCTAACAAGAACATGAACAGGATGATGCTGGTGATTGACATAAGCTAATATCCCTCTCTTGTCATTGTGGGAGAGGAAAAGATCTGTATGAGTCCTCAGGATATATATATTTATTTAAATACTGTGCTCCTTTGAGGTAGGAAATACCATTATTTGCACAATTCTGGTTAAACTCATCAAACTGATGATGTCAGTTCTCTGAAATATTAATCTTGCAGGGCTTCTGGTTTGTATTTTTTATTGCTTGCTGAAGTAAGTTAATTTTATGTAGGATGTATGCAAGCCTTGATAAACAGCTCCTAGCAAAGCATCCTCCTGCACTAAAGGAATTTTATGAGGCCAGGCCATCAAATGTGTTTACTGCCGTGTGTTTTACAAGGCGTGGAGCAGTATGTGAATAGGTCTTTGAAGCCTTTGGTTCGAATTCAGTACTTGAGGTTGGTAAGTGTTTTGTGTTTCTTTGAGTCCTTCTGCAGTCATGCTTTCCTGCTGCTAGAGATAAACCTGAGTATTCTTTCCAAAGATTTGCAGATTTTTTTTTTCTCAGAAAACAAGAATGTTTTGGAAAGGAGGCTACAGGCAGCTTGCTTTGGCTATTTGTTTGCAATATTTTGTACACTAAATAATCCCTGAAATGTTATGGGCTGCTTGGTCCCTTTTCACTCTGTGCCACCTCGGGTACGACAAACACGTGGTGTGTTCTCCTTCCTTCCTTTAGACCTTTGTGTGTCCTATAAATGACTGTGAGACCAGCAATGCTCAAGCTGTAGTCTGAATATAGAGCAAGAGGTCGACTTTCCTTGCTGCTGCTTGCTTTCCTTGCAGGAAAAAGGTGCTGTTCTTCCTGCAGGACCCCTCAAGAATGGGAAAAAGAAGTCTAATAAAGGCAGTCTAAAGAATTCTCAGTTTGGTGCCACTTTAACTTCCCTAGCGCGTTGAAAGCTACTTACTGTTCCCCACTGCAGAATGTTTTGCGATTTACTCAAAAGCAGCTAGATTGACTTTAGAAGTTACTCTAGGATGAAGGTAAGGGGCAGTAAATGTGATAGAGGCCTGCAGCTATAGGGAACGAATTATGGCAGAGAAAGAGGGAATGAAACTCAGTGCCTCTGCCAGACAAGGAAAACCTGGAGCCAACAGAGTTTATCATGGTTTTGGTCATGATTGACTTGACTTCATTCCTGAGGATCCACATGGGAATTACTCCCAAATACATAATCTTAGCTCCTTTGGGCCGCCTGCTATTGGTTCATCTCCGTTTCCCATTGCATGATGCTTGAAAAGGAATCTGCAAGTGTATAACAACAATCTCTCTGCCTGGGTAGCTGGTGGTTTATCGTTTTTAGAGCTGCAACTTGTCTTTTTCCATTTCCAAAGCTGTCCAGCAAGAGAGATGTAGTTTGCTGTGGCGTAGGTGTGTGTCTCTGCTGTCTGTTGGCTATCTACATTGAAACTATCTGCACTTAAATAAGGGTGTTTTGTGCCGTCTTTTAGCAGCAGTCTCAGACTGAATGTTCTGTGGGTCTGTTAGAGCTTGGAGAGGTTTGCAGTAGGCCGGAGTATCTCAGCTCAGTAGCAGCAGCTCTATAAGCTCTACAACCTGCAGCTCATTCTCTTCTGTTTGTTCTCGCCTGTTTGCCAAGAGAAGGCAGGATTTGCCTGTTCTTGGTACGTGCTGCAGATATCCTTCTCTTCTCTTATTTTAGTGCCTTTTTTTTTTTTTGTGCCTTGTCCTTGACTGACTTTTCTGCTTTCTGTAGTTTCTAGCTCTTCAGTCCATGGCTGACTGCCTTGCAGTGATTCTGTATATTGAATGTGTGAAGTGATTCTGGAATTTTTGAGTGTGAATTAAGCTCCCTCTGTCTAACAGGAGGAGAAAACAAAGTGGTCACGGGGCGAAGTTTTCATCCTTCAGACTCTTCTCTGCTGAGGCGGGTTGTGTGCAAGGCTGGGAGAGGCTAATGCTGGCACTTAAGCCAGAACCCCTGCACAGTTTGCCTGAATTACAAATAATTACAATAAAAATCTAGCTGTTAAGGGTGTGGAGAATAGGGTTCATGTTTGGAATAGCGTGTGGGGCAAGTTGTGTGATTTTTTTTTTTCTTTTTTTGTGTGTGTGTGTGTTCTTTACTTCCCCTGAGCCTACAGGCAGGCAGCTCCAGCTTTATAAGCAGTAAAAGACAGCATGCAAACTGCCTAAATCTTTGCCTAAAGCAGGCAAAGCTCATATCCACTTCGTATAACTGCTTCTTAAGAGGACCTTGAGCTGTTGCAGCTATGACCTGGGTGTTATTTATTTATAAAGGGGAGGAATTAATATCACTGCAGAGTCGTCTCCTCTTTTCCATAAGCCCCTTGCTTCCTTTTAGCAGCTGGAGAGCAAGTCCATGGACTGAGCCATACTAGCAGCAATCCTCTCCTTCTCCAGCCCCCGAAAGCTTGGGAGACTCTGCACTTCTTGGAGCAATGTTGTTCTGGGGTTTTTGGGTGGAAAAACCTCTTTTCCCCCTGTGCTGAACTTGGGAGCATCAGCTCAGCCCTCCTGCTGCCTCTCTGCACTGCCTGGGTGCAGCTTGGCACAGTCGGACACAAGTTGGGAACGCGCTTCCAGCTGCAGCGCCCAGGACAGGGCGCGCTTCCCAAACCCACTATACTCTCAATCAGATTTCAGCAATACTCTGCCCATCAGAGTTGTTTAGTTCTTACCTGCTTTTTTTTTTTTTTTCCCAGGCAGCTGTAAAATGCCTTTATTTAATATTTAAAGAACCGTAGCTAATTTATTTTATTGCCTTCACTACCAAACAATAGGGATGCCCTGTCCAACCCAAACAGAATGGCAGCTGGCAGCAGTTCAGTTTTGTTGCAGCGCTGTTATTGTTTGCAGCCCGTACACGTCGCCTCCTCGGCCGCTTTCTGCCGGAGTTTATTTAACTCCCTGGTTTTGATAAGGCAGCCCGACTGGTCGGACCTTGCGTGAGTGCGGAGAGGGGAAGTGCGCTTGGCATCTGAGCCCGTTCCCGAGAGGGAGCAATCAGGACAAAGTGTAGCACTGGTTTGGGCCTGCTGCTTTGCAAGTTCTTCTCATGCTTCTGTTGCCTCTCCGTAACCCCCATTTGCATAGAGGTTTCCCCTGGCTGGTGCAAATTCACCTGGTGAAACTCGTGCTTTGTAATGGCACCATCTGTGGCTGGTGGTTCTGGGAGACATCTCGGTGACTAGAGAGAATGAGTTACTAATGGTCATGAGAAAATACAGATTGGCTGCTGCAAGGAGGAACTTGAGGAGTTTTTGCAGTTTACGGTGTTAACTCATGGCCCCGCAGTTTGGGCTGAGTCAAACTTCATGCTGGGAACCCCACATTTCAGGTTGGTGCTGCATGTCTCTTGTCAAACTGTTTGGTGCGATCCTGGCCTCGTGTCACTGGTTCCACGTCCTCCCTCAGGCTTGAAAAACAAGACTTGTCGAAGTAGCAAAAATATGAATGAGGCAGCGCTGGGGCTTGCGTGACTCGGGAGGCAGCGAGGGTGTGTGAATGCCGGGCAGGTGCGTGACTGCTGTGACAAGCTGAGGATTATTAGTGGCTTATGACTCTAAATGTTCAGTGACTGCTATCAGGAGTCTTAAATGACTTTGATAATGTGCCTGCTCGCATGTGTGCTGCGAGTAATAAAAGGTTATTAGCAGAGGTAGCTTAATCAGCTGTTAACATGCGAGGTCAAGTGTCTGAACACGTTGGATTCCTCCGTGTCTCTAGAGGGCTAACGGGTGAGTTCAGAGCCGGTTCCGGGGGAGCATGGAGGCTCCTGCGCTGCCCAGAGCGCTGCGGTTTTGCTGCTGCCTTGCAGGGCTCTGCCACGTGTTCTGGGAAGCTCTGGATGTGCAAAACCTCCCGTTTCTGCAGCTGCTCGGCAGGTTATCCCCGCTGCCCTGGGGACCAACAGCAGCACAAGCCCTTGCTGTTAAAACATGCTGCTTTGCTCATTTGAATAGCACACTTGTTGCACCTGAGTCTTGGTAGGCTTTTCTACAGGAGAGCCCGAGCTGGTGAGTAACTGTTTCCTCCTGGAGGGTGCGTGTGTTGCGACTGCCCCCCCTTTGAACTCCTCCCTCAGCACCGTGTTTACCACAGGCCTTAACTTATTTTCATGCCACTTTCTGAAACGTGAATAGGAAGACCTCCAAAGAACTCTTAGTAGTGATCCGAGCAGGTGTCTAAAAAGCTAGCAGTGACTTTCTTCCTCCCTCTCTTGAACGAGCAGGGTTGCACGAGGGTTTTTGCGCCCCGAGGTGCGTTACTGCTCCCCAAGCCTTTGCCGTGGGCACTGCGAGCCGCTCGCTCCCCAGTGCCCGGCGGGAGGAGACAAGAGCCCCTCTCGGAGCTGCGACCCGCTCGCAAGGGCGAGATGAGACTTGTGCAAGTGTTGGGGTGTTGCGGGAGAACACGAGCTCCTGCTTTTGCCTCAGCGCTGATCCCGAGCGCAGAGCAAAGGGTGAGGAAGGGGTTTGTAGAAAAGCTGGACTTAGAGACTGATTTCTGCAGCTGTTCAAGGATCTCTTACTGCTCTGTCCCTGGATCTTTTTTACCTGCCTCTCTATTCAAGTGCCTTGAATGAGCAGCTGCTTTTGGTTTCTGGTCCTTCCTGGTCACGAGGTGGTGCCGAGTGATTGCCTTGGCTCCTCCTGCAGCCTCCTGGTTGTGGCAAGAAGCCCTATGTGTGTGTTCTCAGAATTTGCAGAGGAAATATTTAAAGGATAGGCCTCTCCTAGGAGCACTTAAAGAATAGTTATTTGGACTTGTTTTTCCTTTACCTGCTACCATGCAGCTTCGCTACAGAGTGAGAGGAGTGACGGTGGTGCCAGGAAGGATGCTGTTCTCGGCAATTAACAACCCCAGTCTCGTATGTTTTGCCCTGATCCATGTGCTGGAGTGTTTCCTGCCTTACAAAGTGGCTGTGAGAAGTGTCTGAGAAGCCATGTCTTTCTATGTGCTTTATTTTGTATATATTTTTAAAATGGGACTTAGGGAACTGGAAGCTTGGAGCTGGTGGTAGGCTAGAGAAGCAGCTGGTCCCTCTCACTGAGAGCAAGCAGAAAGTCACAGAGCATTTTGGTGAGAATATCTGGTTCACAGCAGGAATTTTTTTGAACACTCGGGCATGCTGGGCTGTGAGGAGCAGACTGAAGCACTTCTGGCCTGAAGACCAGTAGGAATGACCTTATTATTCAATCCGCAAGTCAAAAGCAGGTCTCTAGGAGCCATTCTCTGCAAGGGAGCCCTGCAGTCTGAGTGTTCCTAAAACCTCCAGGAGTTTCAGAAGCATCGGCCCCATAGTCCAGCTAGGCAATAGGGATAGGGCCCAAAGAGGAATTGGGCAAGTTTTTTCCCAAACTTGCTGCCTCCACCGAGATGGGTTTGTAGGAGCACTGCTGAGCTTCCAGCAATGCCTGCGTCTGAAAGACTGCTTTAGGCAGGCCTGGGATTGCCTCCTGGCAGAAAAAGGCAAACCTTAGGGATTTCCAGACTCTTCCCAAGTGCCTGGGGACAAGGTAGGCTCCAGTGGAGCAGCTGCTCCCGGGGGCAGCGCTTGCCGTGCAGCGCGCAGAGCAAGCGGCCTCCGGGGCGTTAGTTTGGATCCGCGCAGCCTCTCTTAGTGGGAACAGGGCTTGTTGGGAGCACAGCTGCTGCCCCCATCTCCAAAACTGAATGGACCATTTGTGGTGGCAACTAAAACCTTCCCTTGTGGCCATTTACAAGGGCTGTTGTATATAATCTTAGCAGACTAGTAGTATTAGGGCAGAAGAAAAAAGCTGATGATATCTTTTTTGTTGTTGTTTTTCTCCTGCCTTCCCCTCTCCCTGGATGCCAGACTCTGGGCTGGTGGTTCCCAGCGTGTCGTACGAGCTTCACAAAAAGCTGCTCTCGGTGGCCGAGAAGCACGGGCTGACGCTGGAGCGGCGGCTGGAGATGACGGGCGTCTGCGCCAGTCAGATGGCCCTGAGTCTCCTCGGGGGGCCCAACAGGTAACGCTGCTTCGCCGCGCGGATCTGAGCCCGCTCTCTCTGCAGCGCCCGCCCTGCCGTCCCCCTCTTCCACGTGGA